ATAACAGTCTGGGCACAGTTTTGACCTGGGGTAGATGTCACTTTTCCAAACAAGTTTTGGATGTGTTCTAGGGGATAGAATGGACCAGAGACCAAGGAGTGGCTTGACTGCAAGGAAGGCATTGTTTGCTTGTTGGAACAGCACAGCAAAAGGAGCAGCCATTGTATTTCATTATCCATTGCTTTTGTTTGTCTTTTTTCTCCCAAACATTTTCTTTTTTATAGAACAATGAGGACAACTTGTACTCTTTCTATATCCATTTTAAAATTTAAATTAAAAAGTGAAACATTGTCTCCAAACACTTGGAGATAATTTTTCCTTTGTAATATACTGTTTTCATGGCAATACCAATAAATCTTTCTTTCTACACTACTTGACATTGATAAAACCCTAGCTGGATGTCTATATTTAATGTCAGGCACTCTACTCCAAAAAAGATGGGAAACAAGTGAATAGAGATAAAAGAAAGGCAGCAAGAAGTATTTCCGAGATCTCTGATCAATGAAGAAAGATTGGAAGAGTTTGATTTGTAGAATAGGGAGAGACTGAAGTCTTTCAACTAGCATCTGTTGCAAAGACAAGAAATAACAATCCAATCCCCATTTCTGTGATGAATAAATCTAAAAGCAAAGGATTTAAACCTTGAGAGGGTAAATTTGGCTCCTGGTAAAATTTTGGAGCAAAAGGGGGGTCTGGAATGGATTGATTTGAACTTCTGTGTGCTTTCTAGATCAATGGTTTTATAAAGTCTTTCAGACCAGCTACTACAAAAAAAAACCCCTGTGATAGCCAGGCTAGTCTTGGGCTTAAGGGATGCAGTAGGAGATTTTGACCTTCTTTCTTGTTCAGTGACTTTGGTTTTTTCTTTTGTAAGATTTGAATATTAACGAAGTAATGTCAATCTATTTCAGTCTATTGCAAAACATCCTTGGAGAAATTTTTCTTTCCCCCACATCTGTTTGACTTCAAAATCCTCTTATCTGTCTGAGCACATCCTCTTTACAGATCTGCAAATATGACACAAGATTTCAGGGTATATATCTCTATAGTTATTTATATTAGAAAAAGAAATATTTTGATTGGTTTTCTGTTGATATACATTTACCCTATGCTGAGGAAACATAGACTATTAAAAATCCCTTGATAATAAGATCATGAGCCTTCTCTGGACATTGCCTCTGAATTTTGACTTAGTTACCAAGAACTCCCTTGCAGACAGGTTTGTTTACTCTGGGTGGCACAGGATTCCTGCCCATAGCAAAAGAAAATTGTGAACCCAAAAGATTACACAAATAAAGTTGCTGGAGCTTGTCCATTGTAATTTTCACTTGCCCTCCCATACACTCCAAAAATAAGAAGATTTTAATGTGGATAAAAGTACTGGTCCAAGCAGACTTGTTAAATGTTTGTAAGGGAACATTATTTACCCGATTTCAGCATTGTAGCAAATTTTTGGAAAATCTAGGTCAGAATCCTATTAAGGCAACCTGCAAACAGCACAAGCATTGGAAATGCTGCAGTGGACAAATGGGCACTTCCAAATATGGTGTTGGGACAAAGCAATGCTCTGCTCAAAGTGTACAGATTCCTCCTCAATGCTGCATTAAGGCTTTCCCTTTTCATAACAAAAAACCCAAACAAACAAAACCACCATAATATTTGTATCACTTTATTTTCTAGCAAATCATATTCTACCAGTGGAACCTCATCACCCTGAATGACCTAATTATTTGTTTGAAGTCTCCCATCCTTCCTGATTTCACAAAACCCAGTGTATGAGGAATTAAGTGATCAGAGTTCCCACTTATGGAAAGCCAATTTGACTGGGAAGAAAAAAGAGAAAGGAAAGGAGCTGGTTCCAGTAAAATTGATCTATGAATTTTTGGCAAAATTGGAAATTGATATTTTTAATAGCTTTGCAAACACAGTACCCAAGATCCTGGGATTACATATAAGATAGGGGAGAGTTTAGCACTCTTAAGGTAGGTCTTTAGGGAGGCTTCTTGCAGAGCCAGAGAAGTCTCCAGAAGAAAACCTATTCCTAGGATTGACTGTTCCTTCCAACAAACCTCCTTCAACAGGCAAGAAAACAGAACAGATGCTTTGTCTTTCTACAATTCTTCCCTAAACTGCACAAACTGAGTGCAGTTTCTTAATGATGTGCTTATAGTAATATTCTGCAATAACTAGGCAAGATGCCAGTTGGCACTTTACAAAAAATATGTCCTTTTTAATCCCTTCACAGTCTCCCTTGTTGGCCAGAGCCCTAATGAGTCTGGACTGCTGTGTTGCAGGAATAAATGCTCAGCTGCATGAATGACTCCACTTCTCCTTATATATCTGGTGACTTAAAAAGTTGGTAAACTTAATGTTGTACTGACAGGGAGAAGGATTATATCTCTTTATCAGTGTTTTTTTTTTTTTTTTTTTTTTTTTTTTTTTTGCCCCTGGACTGTGAAAACCCGGAAAAAGAAATTATTCATAAAAAGATTTCATCTAATCACAAATCTTATTAAGACAGTCTGAATGACAGGAGGTTACTGTGATCTGAAAGAGCACAGCTCTGCTCTTACTTTCCATTAAAAATGTCATATGAGATGTAGAGAGAGTCACAGCATAAGCCATAGGTCATATACTTGTAAAAAACCACCAATGACCAGAAAAACCTGATTCTGGGAATAAAATGTACAAAACCTGTGAATAGGGATAAGCTTTTAAAGTCCATTCAAGTATGTACAATCCCCAAAGCACCAACTTGCTTTTTGCAGCTTCTGCAGAACTAGGATGAACCAGTGCAGAACAGAGCTGTTGGTAAGCAGCCATGCTGAGTGTATTGCAGAGTGTCCCTGTCAGTCAAGAAAAAGCTAAACTTACTAACAAAAACATTGCAAATAAAACAATGCTTTCTATTTCCAATTCCAAAGACTTATTGTAAGATATTTAGTACTAAGTAAATTAGATTACATTTTCTTCACAGAAGTAACCATCTTGAAAGAGGTGAAAATATATTTGGAAGATGGTTGAAGGAATGGGAACTTCACAGGAGAAATCTGGAGTTAGGATCACATATTTCATCAAAATATCTAGGGAAGGTTTATTAGCCTCAGTAAAGAAAAAGAGAAGTTTTGAGAAGATCCATGAGAAAATCATCAAATACTCAATTTCAGAGAGTGTGTGTCCCTGGGGAGGAAAGCAGCAGAGCAAAAGTGCCACAGTTACCAGCATGTGAAACACATCTTGCTCTGCAGTTTGCTTGCCAAGTGACAATGCAAGCTTTACAACAGGCCAATCTTTAAAACCTGTGACATCTGGAGGTAGGAAAAACAGCCAAAAATTAAGAGCTTCTGCTGCCAGTTTCCAAGAATGTGTACTGTCCAGTCCCTGGGTTAGCTTTGTAAGCACCATGGCCTGTGGTGACTGTATCGCACTTTCTTGCAGGGCTCATCCATGGCTGGCTTTGTATAAAAATATGAAAAAACAGAGGGCGTGATGTGATTTTGGTACTTTTATGGAAGTGGATGGAACTTGATGTTATCCCAGCACTGCTTTCTTCCCCAAGAGGGGTCTCAGTCTGTGGTTAGAGGGAGTAAAAATTTGCACATGGAGTCTGACAGCAAATTGTTCAACTCTACCTGTATTTCTCCTTGATCCAGGGACCTGCCAGTACTTACACACTCCTTCTGTGTGTACCAGGCTGCCTGCCAGCATGCCAGAGGTGCCCCTATTGCAGAATATGGCTGTTGTGGAAGGACTTTGCCTTGGGCATGTCCTGTGACACAGAAAAATAGGTATTGGTACCTCTAGAGTGTGTTGGGTCTTGTACAGAGGCTGCTGGCTTGGAGAGAAGGGCTCTGAAAGGCAAACTAAGCAATGATTTTCCTGATAGTAGGACTATCTGAGATGTTGCATGTTTTTGAGTTCAGCCTGGTACAAGATTAGATTGTTGAGTTGCTACTGTCTCTACCAGATGCTTGTAGAGATACTTGAGTGAAACCACTGCAGGCAGAATGGCTCATCTAAAGGATTATTTGGGTTAGCATATGAGGACTTAATCTTCAAGAGGGAATTACAAAGTCTGATAGGCACTTTCCTTGAATGTACACTTCGAATTGAATAAAACTGGAAAGAAAAGCACTTGTTTATTTCTTCCTCCTAGGGTCAGATTTTCCACACTTATTCTATTCAAAGGCACAGTAAAATTTTCTATTGCTAAATTCAGACTAGTAGTTTCAACAAAACAAAGTGATTCCATAATGAAGAAAAATGCTTTCCTGCCCATCCCCAACACTCTTTTTGCTTTGAATTAATCTTATTATTCACTTATTTATATAACAGTTGTCAAACATATTAATTTGTACCATTAGAATTGTCATGTAAATACCCAGTTATGGAAGATGAGGCTTTTATAAAACACGGTGAGATCACTGACAAAGTCACCAGGGTTGGCAGTGCTGTAGATGAACAGGCAATAAATTCTGTTCTGGAGAGAGAGGAATTACTTGCACAGGGGGAGGGAAGGGATTCTCTGAGGTAACAGCAGCTACTTCCAAGATTATGGGGAAGATACTTTCTATTCTTGGCACCAAAGGTTGGTTATGAAGGTCTCATGTGCTGCACATTCTGAAGACACCCATGACTTTGGAATTACTGTCTGGAAGTTTTATTAATCCCACTGGCTCAACTATATGGGCTATGTCTCAAAATACTGTCTGAAATTTTAATAGGCTTTCTGAGCCTCTGGCTCAGAATTTATCTCGCAACCCAGAAATACTATTAAAAACAAATCACTAATTTCATCAAACAAATTGTTTGTAGCATAGAAAAATTCTACCAGTTGAAGTTTACACACTGTCAAAGCATGCAGAAACAACAAAGTTTGCATTGCTATGGAAACAAAGGTTATGCTGGGAAAAACAACTTGCAAGTGGCTGTGAAAAGTAAGTTTATAAGTGTGACACCTTTCAGCTTGATCTTGAAAGACATATTGCAACACAAGCATCTTGGATTAGAAGATTGTTTTTATTTAGTTTTCCACAGAGACATGTTTCTTTCACCTCTCTTCTCACAAATCTGACATCAAAAACTATCAAGATATATATATATATATATATATATATATATATGTGAGCTGTACAGCCAGAGAAATCTGTCAGTACAGCATTACTCTTCTTCTATCAAACATTTTAAGAAAAACAAATATGATCCCTTCCATGCCTATCTAATACAAGAAAAACAGCTAAGTCAAGAGAGAATATATATATGAGAATATATATATTCATGAAAGACTAAAAAGAAAAAAAAAATCTAGTTTCTGATGTTTAAACAAAACATACTTTATACATTTGGCTAAGCTGAAATATCGTACCTTGCCAAACGAAAAACTGCTCCCTAATGGTAGGTTCCCTAGCAGCTCAGTAGGTATGCAAGGCATGCAATTCATTTCCTGCCAAGGCAGAGAAAAATGGGTAGGTCTGATATTATATTGCTAGTGTGCTTGAAAAATATCTTAGTTGTTAATGTTATAGACTGCATATACATGTTTTGACTTTTTGTCTCCTTGAAACTTTCCCAGATATAACTTTTGGGTTAACTGTCTTTTAGCTCTCAGTGATGGAGTGTTCAATGGGAGGTGAAATAGGAATTTCCAGAGCATTACAGTCATCAGTAAGGAACACCAGGTCCTGGAGAAACAAACAACAAACAAAAAAAAAATAATTAAAAAAACCACCAAGTAATATTTATAAGGAGGAAGGCAGAAGATAGTACAGTGAGAATCTTGGGCCTGATCCAGTTTTGGTGGTCAGTGGAGACAGGCAGGGCTAAAAGCAGGGACTGTCCCTGATGATGCATCTTGACCTACCCTTCTGCAGTAGGAGATCAAGATGGTGTACAGGCTCCGGGCTTTTTCCTTCAGCTCATTCACTTCAGCCACTCTGTCACATCCAGGGTAGGCCACAAAGTCACGGAGTTTTGCCAGCACACAGTAGTTCTGCAAAGCATGCAAAAGAGGTCTGTGTAACCCCACACAAATACAGATTTATGTTCCTCGGCTGCCACTTCCAAAATCCTTGCTGCTATGTGGGAACCTTGAATTCCTACCTCTGTGTACATGTAATCTATGCAATCTTTAGCCAGGCAAATTAATCATCAGTATTTGATAACAAAGATGTTTGGTTCAAATAAATGCTTGTAAAATTGCATATATACAGTCTTAGTCTGCCAGCTAATTTCTCACATGCTTTAGGAGGCAGCAGCGCCAATACAATCAAATCTGCTCCCATAGTAGGTGAAGTATTCTACAGAGTAGGTGCACTATCTCACTTTTTTGAGAGCACCTGATTTAGCAGATGAAGAGATTATCAAGATCTCACAGACTTGATTACTCTGTTCCTGCTCAATAGCAGAAACCATGACCAGTCCTGATTTTTTCAAGGCAATTTTTACCTCAGACTTTTTGTCATCCAAATAAAACACAGACAAAATGAATTTCACAATCTCCTTGTGAAGCAGGTAAATAAATATCCCAGCTTTTGCTTTCAAACCAGGGAAACTGAGGCATTGGAATCACATTTCTTGGTCTTTGTCACGATGTGAGACACTGGCAGCTCTGGAATTGGTATCTAGAATGTCCTGAATTACAAGACTTGGTGTAGTTGCTTATTGAAAAATGTGTCAGAAATTTGTTTTGTGTGATATTTTCTATTTGTTATCTACTCTGTTGAACACTGGAAAAAGAAGCAAAGCATATCAAATACTCCACTGCAGAACACTAGGACACTAACTGTGTATGCAGGTTATTTTTTCTTAGTTGGGAGACAGCTATTGCTTTTTTTTCTCAGTATCACACTTCCATATCCTCAGGCACATTTTTTTTCTTTCTGTATTCAACAAGTAGCTCTTTAAAAGAGAAAAAGCCAGCAAGGTATTCCTGCATTGCTTTTTATTAAAGCTAAATGCCAAAAACCACTCAGGATATAAAATGAAGTAGATTAATTAAGTGAAGAAAATTAATTCTGCATTTCTTCTTTTACACTATTATTCAACAGTCTGTTGCACTTATTTAACTTCTGAAAAGGCTCTGTCACAGTAAATTAATTGTGTGCATATGGTACTAAGTTAAAAACATTGATTTCTTAATTTTAAATTTTTTAATCAAGTAAAATCTCAGAAAGTCCATTGGGATTTTAATAAGGTTCAAACTGACTTCATTTTTCATCACTCATCTATCTAGTTAATTAAACTTTTAAAAATGCTTTTAAATCACTCCTCTGGGGTATAATATTGAGAGTTATTCTCACTTTTCATTAACTGCTTTTACTACACAACAGGAAGAAAGAAGCATGCAAACTTACGTGTATGTCCAAGTACAGCCTGGGCAGCGTCTCCACGCACGAGTCCTGCGGGAAGGAGGAAAAACTCGTTGCGATTTTGTTTAGAGAAATCTGTGTCAAAAGTGACAACAGTGTCTGTGCAGGAGCAGTTTTTGGGTGGACTCACCACAGTGTTGGAGGTCTGCAGCTCCTTGAAGGACGCTGTGATTTCCCTGCTCAGAGCCAGCACCCTGGAGTAGCAAGTTGGAGGGGCTGCGCTGGCTGGCCGGGCAACGGAGAGCGCGGCAGCCAGGAGCAGCAGCATCTTCATGCTGGGGAGTTTGTCCAGAAAAAATCACTCCTGCTGGTTAGGTAGGTACTGCTGAGCATCAGCGAGTAAGCTGGACAAATCAGGTCTCAATTAAATAGTCTCCTGCATGAACAGGAAGAAAAGTCTGGGGGTGGTCCGAGCAGCAGCTCGCTGCCGTCTTAAATTTCCTGCCAGCCTCTGAGGCAGAGCTGCAAGCGCCGTCCTGCACAGAGCAGGGAAAGAGGGAACCAGGGTAGCAAAAACAAACGCCACTGGCTCTTTTCATTCCAGAAAGAAAACAACCTAGTGAGCATCGCAAACAACAGAAATATGTGTAAGAAAAAGCACAAGGCTCTCAGAGTGTCATAGGCCCTAATCCCGTATGTGCTTTGGCACATGCGTCCCTTCTCTGAGCTGTGGGACTACATAGGCTGCAGATGGAGAGAAATCCTTCCAAACAGCAGCCTTCCCCAGCTCAGGAAGGACATGGACCTGTTGCAGTGAGTCCAGAGGAGGACATCAAGTTGATTAAAGGGATGGAGAAACTCTCCTATGAGGAAAAGCTAACAGAATTGGGATTGTTCTGCCTGGAGAAGAGAAAATGTCAGGGTGACCTAATTGTGACCTTCCAGAACTTGAAAGAAGCCTACAAAAAAGATAGAAAGGAACTTTTTACAAGGGCAGATAGTGACACGACAAGGGGGAATGGCTTCAAACTGAAAAAGAGTAGGTTTAGGCTAGATATTAGGAAGAATTTTTTTCCTGTGAGGTTGGCGAGGCATTGGAACAGGTTGCCTCTCGAATTTGTGGATGCCCCATCTGCAGAAGTGTTGAAGGCTGAGTTGGATTGTAGTCTGAGCAAGCAACCTGGTCTAGTGGAAGGTGTTCACATCCATGACAGTGTGGTTGAAACAAGAATGATTTTTAAAGTTGCTTCCAAAACAAGCCATTCTATGATTCTATTATTCACAATTTGTCAATCAAAACAATAGTGCTTGTGCTGGCTGCTTGGGAAGACCCACGTATTTGCATATTCATAGTCTCAAGCAAAGTGAATACTTCTCTATATTGCTGTGATAAAAGTATCAAAGTTATTTTGCTTTTTGGATTGAATTTATGAGGCTTTTTTCTTTTATTAGATGCCAGATGGAGCTGGGAAATCCAGATGCTGGGATACAGGCCTGAAGCTGAACATATGTTGTTTTATATGTTAATTGCCCTGTAAAATGGAGGTACCCTTGAATGAAGAACTGGTTATTTTGAAAGTTATGCCACCCCCAAATTTTTAAATTCAGATTTTAATAAGGTATTAGCTAAAACAAAAAAAGTATCTGATGAAGTACTGCAGTCCCCTGGCATTGTAGTACACCAGGAAGATTCATCTGAAGGTGGGAAAACTAGTTTTGGAGAAAAAGATATACTCTGTACGTTGCAGAGAACTCTGAGTTAAATGCACCAAAACACCTGGGGGAAACAGGAGAGCAGGGCAGTATACTACTGTCTCATTATGCACTTCTTTGCCTTCATAAAGAAATCCGGTTTAATAACAACTTGTGCTCCTGAATGTTAAAGTGGTACATCCTTGGAGAGGAAAGAAAAGTTGGTAGTCCTGGGTGTGGGAATTTTTAGGACTGCTGGATCCTATTTTCAGAGAGAGTTGCCTGGACAAGTCAGTGAAGAGGCCAGAGGGAGACACGAAACCTTTTGAGAGGGCCCCAAGCAGCCAGATCATAGATCTGAACACAGCTACCTGGTGCACATCCAAGGAAAGGATCCCACTGACTGTGAGTCTTGTAGGTTAAAAACAGACTTTTAATCATCATCTCATTGCTATAAAGAATAGCTGAGTGAAATATTATGCTTCTATCACATTCATGTTTGACAAGCTGCTAAAACTGCTCTGCCAGAACAGCAGTTTTCTGAACAGCATAAATGGTCTCCCAGTACTACAAGTCAGCAACCCAGCTGCTGCCAAGGATGACTTAGGAAAGAAAAGGCTGGATCCAGGCTTCACCAAAACACTTAATCAAATTTAAAAAAAAATTAAAAACAAAGAAACCCACCCACCCAACCAAAACAAAACAAAACAAAAAAAACCCAACCAACCAACCAACCAACCAAAAAAAAACCCCAAAAACCCCCCAAAACCTCCCTTGCAAAACCCAACCAAACCAAAAACACCAACAAAGCAAAATGAACAAGCAAACTAACAAAAACCCAAACCAACCAACTAACCAAAAATAACAAAAAAACCCAACAACAAAACCCTGAGATAATTTGCTGCAAGGTTTTTGCTCAGCTATTCTCAGAAAGAGTAGAGGGTTGTTTTTCCCTGAAAAATCATTAAGTACTGGAGTTTAATTTCCTCACCCACATCTTTTCCCTGGGCCAGATTTACTTGCATAGTTAACTCTGACTCAAATGAGTATTTTCCAATATCCAGTATCTCATCAGCACTACTGCCTACCTCAGCATGCAGAATCTGCAATTCAATTAAACAAAGACAGGTACTTTCTTCTCAGTTATTTCTATTTGTAGCTAATCAGGAAGATTATCCTTGATCTCTGACTACATTCAATTTATGGTCCAGGTATGAGTAAATAATTTATTTTTTCTCTAAGAAGCTCTAAACACTAAGAAGTGGTGAACTTGCTAGTGACACCAGGCACTGGGAGTCCTTTCAGTCTGAGGCACCTGGCTCAACAGTGAACCAGATGCACAGCTACCAAAGCCCCTGAAACTTTTCAGTGAGTGTTTTTATCCACTCATTTATGCAAAGCCCCTTGTTAATTCTGGTGCATTCCCTGCCTTGGGCAGAGAAGGACTTTAACAGGGAAACACAAGCTGTTCTTCACAAAGGCTAATAACCTCTTAGAGGCAATATTCAAAATGGACATGGAAATAAAGTTTAGAGCTACAGGAGGGGAAGAGGGAAAGGATCAAAATGTATTATAGTCAAAATTTGCCTAAGGATTGCCTCTATGGAGAAGCAGCTATTTACAGTCCTTCCAGTCTGTGGGACAATGCTCAGGCTGGCATTAGGAGGGAGCACAGCAGGAGTCAGTCAGTGTCTCCATATTTGTTATAACATCACTCTGTGGATATCTCCAGCACACACACATCTTTGTCATGCTCTACCTTTCAGTGAGCATGGGGCTTCGAGGGCTCAGGACCACTCTCACAATTTTACATTAACTCTTGAGGCTGATGATGTTACTATCTCTCTTCAGAGTGCTCTTCATAGTGCATTTATTTACTCTTATGTGAGGAATGTTCCATAGCAAACACAGATATATGGGCAGAGAAGAAACTTAAAAGCCTGTGATGACATAACTGTCATTTTTAGTAAAAATGAAATATTTTTATGAAAAGAAAATTTTGAGTATGTTTTCTTTTTGCTTCCAATTTACTGAAAACTCAAACAATAATATTTTTCTAAAAGTCTAGGGGCTCACTATGCAGACTGAAATTCCTTCTATATTTGAACAGTCTACCAGGGTGTCCACCAACTTTTGATAAAAGCTCTTGCAAGCTACTGATTTCTTAATACCAAAATCCACCTGCTTAATGAAAATGTTGATTTTAAAATAGTTGGGGGCTGCCATGAGACACCTCATGAAATGAATTTATGACTATACTGAAAAATAGGAAAGGTAAAACATAAAACGAGTAAACTAGAGAAAGCCCTGTGTATTTAAGCAGCACCTCAAAGCCCAAAGTGACTCAGCTGTTTGCTGTGGTGGAGGTGCCACTTCTTGCTTCAGAGCAACTTCTCTGCAAACTTCCAGCTCAGGATAAGACTTTTTAGAAATCCTGGCCTCTTGGTTAAGGTCTCATCTGTTTGTCATGTTTTCCCTTGCTGCACGTGGCTGAGTCTTTCTGTAAACATCAGCTGAAATTTGGTGCAGAGGTTGTGCAGCCTCACACATTGCCCTGAGTCTGGGGGTGCTGCTGCACAACGCTGGCAGTTTCCTGGCTCAGAGGGAAGCCTGATGTGGCAGCACTGTGTGCCTGCATTTGAAGCTGGGGTTAATCCCACGTGGTTTGTTTCATTTTCTCTTGATAGCAGTAAGATTCTGCTGGTGATCCGAGTGGTTTGGCCAAGCTATGAGCAATGGGCAAGGCAGGCAGGATCTCAGAGCTGTCTCTGGGCTGGTGATGCAATGCTGTTTCCCCATGATAATTAAGCAAAAGTCCTTTTTGCTTACTCAGTGGTACAGGCTTCATTTTTCTTTCCTGTTGTTGTTATTTTTAAAAATTTACATATATATTGAGAAACTAATGCTGTTACTCAATAGCCTGTTCTTACATAAAATAGTTATAGAAGCAGGTAAAACCATCTGGGTCAGAAAAAGAAATTAGATGTTCTGAAGTCTGTTGGTCTTGCTAGCACGAACCTGGCACTGGGTACTTTCCCTGAAGAAAAACATATGGAAATGGGGAGTCCCGTGGTCCAGGACAGAGAAAGGACAGCCCAGCAGAGCAGGGGAACAGGAATCATTTCCCTGTGCTGCCTCAGACCAGTTACCAAATCATTTGCACTGTCTGTGCTGACCAGCCCTCTCTGCAGGCGGTGTCCACCTGCCTTTGGAGCAGGGCAGGGGCTCAGGCAGCAGCAGTGTCCTGCACCCAGGGGCCACACGGTGCTCTGGGTGATGGCAGAGCCAGGACAGTGCAGAGATGTCCACACAAGTGTCTGTCACTGCAGGGCAGGCATAGCCTAGCTTGTCTCTGTCCTGGCTGCTGTCTCCATAATGGGGATAATGGTATTTCCCACAGACACTGTGGGAACTCGGCCATCAGCACCAGGGAAACGGGAGATTATGTGGTTTAGCCTTGTCAGGGATACTCTTTTCAGTGACTGCAAGGCGTATTGATTCAAGTAATGCAGGATTTAGAGGCTTAAGCCTTCACTGCCTTGCTAAAAAAAAGTCAATTTTAGCTTGGAGTAACTTGCAGACCTCTTCAGTGAAATAACAGTGGTGCTTTCAGCCTGGCTCCCTCCCTGGCCATGGGCACACAAGTGCCTTGTCTGGACCCTGGCTGGGCTTTGAGATCACTCCTGGGTGTGAGTTATCCCAAGGTAATACCATTCTTTATTAACACTGCAGTCAGGGTTACAATAGCAGAGTTTCAAGGAGGGAGCCTTGCTCATGTTT